ATCTTGTTGCCATGGACGCAGTGTGTTCATATGAGAGGCATGCATGCTAGGGATCAACTGGATTGACCTCCTCACTCTCGGGTTAACAGAAGCCGCGTGTGTATCTGGTTCCCTGTGCCCGTCTATACATACAGTATATGTGCCTGATCTGAACAAGAGTGTGTTAGCAGCATGTTCTGGAAGGATTATTAAACACTGAGGTTCAATCTACGGTATCTCACTATGAGTAAGAACAGAAGAAAGAGTGTGAGCGTGAGTGCTTGTTGAACTTTGTCTCTGTTTTGTACTGTAGGCCTCATGTCTCGTAAAAATTCCTCTCGCTGTCCTGTAAACACACGCGATCCAGAACATGGCATGCATTCACTCTTGAGGGAATCTTCTAGCATACAAGTTCAGCTATACAACATTCATTCAATCATTTTCTTTTCAGCTTAGACTCTTTATTAACCCAGAGTCGCCACAGCGGAATAACCGCCAATTTATCCAGCATGTTTTTACGCAGCGGAAGCCCTTCCAGCCACAACCAATCTCTGGGAAAGCTTTACAACATTTGTTGCATAATAATTGATTTCTAAGATTGTGCAAATTCACGTACTCTGTAAAAAATATATATATAATATTGCAAAAAGTTATATTGCTTGGGAAAACGTATATTAATTCTGGAAAAATATACTTTAAGAGCTTTAAATAAAGTGTGGTTAAATTTGAATTGGTTAATATTTACTGGACTTATAAATTTAAAAAAGCTGGAGTAAAATTTGTGCCAGTTAAAAAAACAACAACAATGGATTATATGCACACATACTTTTAATTTTACCCAGCCAGCTTTAGCACTTCTGGTGTACTGCCTTTTTTGTTATAAAATTGCTGCGTTTAAGGTCTGATTTCTTTCAAATTCAGTGATCTTCACTGCGTGATAGATACACAATATAAAGTGGTTCATAGACTGAACAAGAAGCACTGCATTAAATTTCATTTTCCGACCACCATGTCTTTAAAATATGACAATTTATTTAACATCAGTGTTTTCAATCGCGTTTTTGTGTTCGCTGGCTCATCCTGACAGCGCTAGTGGTTACACAGACTTTCATCTCATTTTACGCTTGAGGAACTAAATGAATGCTTTAGTCTATTTAACTGAATGTATTCCAATTACATTACAATTTTACATCGATTATGTAAAAGGAACCTTATGAAACTGAAAATAGTCACATTAAGCTTTCACCGGAAGTTCATCGTGGGCTGAAAAACACTAGCTGCGCCTATATCCCATTTAGGTAACATTTTGAAGATAAATTAAATGAAGATTTAAAAAATAAATCCGTGGAACTAGTTACTAAATATTAATTAGTTGAAGCTTCCTGAAATCATTTAGTGACTTCTTAAAAATCAGCTATAGTTTAAGGGCTAACAGTAGTTGTCTTACAGCCTAATAAAAAGAAAAAAAACAAAATTGAAAAGAATGGACTATATGCACAGCTAGTGTTTTTCAGACAATGATAAACTTCAGGTGAAAGCCTAATGTGACTACCTTTAATAAGTATCCTTTTACAGCATCGTTGTAGTAATGTAACTACAATACATTCAGTACAATACAATACATTAATTTATGTTGAAAAAGCTGGTTTGCTTCTTGTCCGGTCTGAGACCCACTCCATATCATATATCATAAATATATATATCAGGCATTGAAGATCGCAATTTTTTTTTTTTTTAAGAAACCAGACCTTTCGCAAATTTTATAATGGAAAGACATTTTACCAGAAACCCTGTGGCTCGCTAGCTGAAATTAAAAGTTATCATTTTCTTCAGCGACAATTGCTGACATTTTTTCTTTATGAAGATGTTTAGTATTATCATGAAACTGACAACAAACCTTCAAACCGTCAAGTTGCAGCATTTTGAAGTGTTCTCTGAATTCGGACCCCATCAATTATTGCTTGATCCCCCCTTAAGGACATCAAAAGTCTTCACAAAACATGTTTCTTGTAAAAAAAAAAAAAAAAAGGCATCTGTAGGTGTATGTGAAACTAGATGCATAGTTTGTATTTTATTATAGATTTGCTTGCACATAAAAGTTAAACAGGAAAATAAAAATTCTGTGCAGTCTTCATGGTCATCCATTAGGTTTATTTCATATCACTACATCGAGAACCCCTCAATATCCCTCAAAACATTAAAAACATAATAACAAGATCAATAAATTTGATGTAATTGAATTAAATATATAAATTTGGTTCACTGAGGCGTATTACCGAACATAATTGATAAAACTTGACCCCTGATTTTTATTGTAGCCTATAATTTGCACCCATATTGTTCATTGATTATCAGCAGCCTAATTAATAATGTACGCAAGTTCTTACCTTAAAAACAAGGTGGATAACGGCAAACAGGAATATTGCTAAAATAGTTTTAACGATTTTTTTTTTTTAGTTTTAACGATTTTTAACTGGTAACAAACGGCAAAAACTGTCAGCGAAATGAGCCAATCAGAATTCATCCTGCTTTTTACAGCGGACCATGCAGCAGTTGCCAGTTGGACCGGACGTCAACCGCCATTAAACTGCATAAAAATAACAAGACGAACTTCCCTGTGTTGAATATAACTACAACTAGGTTAGTAAGTGAATTTGTCAACACTAAAATCAATTTACCATGTTTGTCTGTCCTTTCGCTATATTGTGTAACTTAGCTAGTTTAAACCACCTTCACTTGTAATTAATAAAATATTTTAGTTTTTAAATGGTACAAGTGTACGTTGCTCAGTCCCTGATTAACGTTACACGCACAGGTGATTTCTGGAGCTGTTTTGTGTGATCAAACGTCACGGATGCCATGTATCTCGACATCTCACAACTGTGTTCACGGGGTTCAAATAGTGTTAGCTGCGTGTTACCTGATACAAGTGCTTGGCTGCTAGACAAAATAGGGGACATGTGGATATTAGGGCACGAGACATAGACTTCCTGCAATATTGTTCTCAAAACAAGGAAAGCTGAAGGCAGTATGGCCCTTCAAGCTGTGAGAGATTTCTCTACACTAAATTAACTGTCGTCAGTCAGCCAGACAGGAAGGCTGGGAACAGGTGTTTCCTTGGCAAACAAAGCAGGTGCATCATTGGCTGTCTCGCTCTTTTTTACGGTCTTTCCCCATTTGTCTCTAAAACACCACCCCTACCCCCCTCTCATACGCATGATCATGTTTTTCCAGCTCCATTTTAACCGCAATGAATGACTTGTATATTACTGTTAACTGATAAAATTTATTTAATACAAATGCATTAATTGAATTGGGTATGGGCTGGTATAAAATTCTGACAGTATAACATTGGATAAAAATATCACGGTAATTGTGATTACTGCTCTAAAATATATTCTTTTTAAATGGCTGCATAAAAACCCTGGGTAACCCTTTGAACACATTTTATTTTCAAAAACATTTAAAATATTTTGGGACAGTAAACATTAAATAAATAATAAGATTTATAACAATAACAATAAGTAAATAATTCAATTGAATCACTGACACTGTTTTGATTAGTTTAAAAAACACTGCTTTAAATAAATGTATCCCTTCCGCTGGAGATGTTGTCCTAAAAAAAAAACAAAACAAAAAAAAAAAAACTAACATATACTTTAGGAATGGTAGAAAATTTTGGCGGTTTTAAAACCTTTACTTTTCCAAACCGATGTATACCTAAAAAATGGTTATCGTCCCATGCCTAAATTGAATACACAAATTCATAAATTTTTAAAAGAGGTTTATTGAGGTAGAGCGTTAAATTAAACAGAAAAAAGGTTCTGTCACATTTTAATACACAAATATTTGTAACATTTACATATTGTGTAATAGATTAAAATACTGACGAGTAATAAGACATCAAAAGGCACTGTATTTCCATTGTGTTCAGATTTTAATGAAATGTATTGGAGTATTTATAAATGTTTCTCTTTGTGTGTGTGTCCTTATCTAGTAGGGCTGCACAATATATCCTTTCAGCATCAATATCGCAATTTATTATTTTGCAAGTGTTTTTTTTGAAGCCTGTGACTTTGTGAGGGTTTTAAAAGCATTCAGGCATAGGAAACTGTACCGTTTGTACCTTTGACAAATTAACAATTAATTTTATTGAATTCTTTATAAAAAGAAGACTGAGGTATTATTTTACATTTGATAATTCAGTTACTGTATGCCTGAAAACAGTTTGACTGCTTGAAAAACAATAAAACACTTTATTATTAAATACAAATGTTTAAATTTGTATCTTTTTTCTTTATTGATTTATCTATGTTTGTAGATTGTTTATTATATTTTATGCTCTCCCCTACAGAATCATCCCGATCAATCTAAAATAATACATTATTCTCAAATATTAATTGAACTGGTCAATTGTATGAAGTTAATTGTATTCATATTGAAACATATGTATCGCAGAATAAAAAAATATTGCAATTGTTAGGCGACGCGGTGACAAGAAGGTCGCTGGTTCGAACCTTAGCTGGATCGGTTGGCATTTCTGTGTGGAGTTTGCATGTTCTTCCCGCGTTTGCGTGGGCTTCCTCCAGGTGCTCCAGTTTCCCCCACAAGTCCAAAGACATGCGGTACTGGTGAATTGGGTAGGCTAAAAAATGTCTGTTGTGTGTGTGAGTGAATGAGTGTGTGTGGGTGTTTTCCAGTGATGGGTTGCGGCTGGCAGGGCATCCGCTGCTTAAAACTTATGCTGGATTAGTTGGTGGTTCATTCCGCTGTGGTGAGCCCAGATTAATAAAGGGAAAATAAAGGGATTAATAAAGCCAAAAAGAAAATGAATGAATGAATACTGTGCGTTCACTTCGTTGTTTATCCAAATTTGACCAACCAGATCAGAAACTTTGTATACTTATATACACACAAAGGTGAACCTATTAGTTCCTCTGAGCGGAGAGCTAAAATAAACACCACGGAGTAGAGAAAAGTGAGGAAAATCACAACATCAAATAAGAATCAGAACATCTGCTGGGGTTTCCGTTCATTCACAGTGTTTTATAGTCTAAATGTTTGCACCTTACACAAAGATATTTTGTTTATGCCTGAATTACATTTAATTAGATCAGATAATTATTTATTACATGTTTATTTTAATATGATCATTACATATATTTTTTTTAAATAGCTAATAAAATTTGCATTTCTCTAGGGAAATGTTACATTGCTGAAATATTGTAATTGCAATATTCAACAACAATATTGCATATTTTCACAGAACTTTAATGTGCACTGATATATTTCCCATTTGACTTTCATTTTAAGCCACACTCAACACGTCTGTCATTAAATATGTTCAGATTGGGTTAGATTTGTCAGCTGCTGTTCTGAGAACAATAAGCCACTTACAGTCTTTTAATTTTTAGATATTGGTTTCTTCTTGGATTCTTGGTTTATTCTTGGATTGGTCTCTTCCTGACTGGGGAAATGTTTTACTTTGTTTAACTTTGGAAATATGTCTCTTCTATACTCTACTTGACATGTTTTTCTCAAGCATTGAAACGACTGTTGCTATACAATGCACAGTGTTCCTGTGACTGTCCAAAGCATGTGACTGAGACATGCCATTGGCTTTAGGTTGCTAAACATTTGTGGGAACATAGTAAAAGCGCTGCTAACCCTGTTTCATCGCAGAGTTTGATAACCCTGAGTAAAATGTTTCTGCCCTTCTTCTAAAAAATACAAGTGTGAAATGTTCTCTACCCAGGGTTAAATGCAGGGTGTAGCACAGTGTGAGAAGCCCTTACAGGATACAGCCTATTTGAAACAACCGCTAATTTACCTCACTGACTGACTTCAGTCATTTTAGTATCATTTGTATTTCTGTTCTTAATGCCTGATTCTGTCAGACAGGTGACCAGGTTGGACATGCCGTTGGGTAGTACCGCTCACGTTTACTGGCCTGACTCGTCTTTGAAGTACCTGAGAGAGGATCTTGTGTTTCCTGAGAGGAGCTCAGTGTGACGTTTTCAGCCTCATGGTCCTCCTCAAGGTGCGTTTCTGTGTTTTTTCCTTGTATGTCCTGAGTCCCCCTTTGATTGTGTGTGTGCTCTGATCCTGATTGTGGTGTTAAATGATGCTGCTTATGTGCCATGTGTGTATGTTTATGTAGTCTGTGTGGCACAGACTGCAGTTTGTCAAGATGTGGAGGTGTGTATTCCTCATAAGAGTTTGGGTGAGATGGTTTCTGTGCAGTGGTGTTTCCCTGTAGGCACTTCCCTCGGGTGTCCTGCCCGCGGAACCCTCTCAATTTGGGGCTCCAGTGTTCTCTCCATTGCAAGGCCATTGTGGTGCGGTCTGCAACTAATCTCCTTTCCTCAGGGACCCAACTACGCCTGCTTTCCTCTGCACCGATCAGGAGAAAGGTTCGGCCAATCTGCAGAGCAGGGCAGCCGCAGCTCACATCCCGATCTGGAACCCAAAGGGCCTGAAGGCCTCGCTTTACATGTGAAGAGCCCATGCGAAAAACTGACTGCACCAGTATGGAAAACTGCCACCAGGGACCAGAGCGTTCCTTACTTTTTACCTGCACCTTCAATACTGGGATGAAAGTATGACAGGGACAAGGGACACAAACAATGAAGATGAGAATGTTAATACGACTCAAGAATTCACTATCCAGATTTATTTTCTGAACAAGTAATGTGGCAAAATTCAGCCAACAAGAAATCTGTGTTCTTGACATAATAAAAGGTCTTAAAACTCTTTTTTAGGTTTGATTAACAAGGAACATTTCTGCCATGAAACTCTATGTGCGCACAGGCTGATTGGTCACCTAATCTGCCCCTGTGTCATTGAACTACATGGCGCAGGAGATTGGATGCTGCCCCCTTTGCAGCCAATGAGCTTGCTCCTCATCAGTTTAAATGCTCTGCGCCATTTTACGCTGTTAAGCTGTGGCACGTTTTCGGTGACCCTCCTCCACTCCAGCTTCATTTGTGTTTAGATCTGCAACAGGATTTACTTATATATTACGTTTGCAAGCGGAGCATGTTATATTCTTAGACGGCATGTCTGTGTATATACTTTCAGTAGCAGATTTCAATACTTGCTCTGCCGTAATAATCAAAGAAGCAGCAGCAGCGCAGCAGATCTGTTCTTCCAAGACTAAATACATCAACATTGCCATATAAATATTCATTACCATAATAAATCCCCAGAGTGTTCAGAAATAAGAAACTCAAATTTCATACGAATTTTGCACAGCTTCGGAGTGAGTAAATTACAATACAAAATCTATACATTTAACTTTATCTCACAATTTAGGTCTGTTTACACTAAGAACAATAGCTTGTTAGCTTGTAATAGTTGTTCTGTTATCATAAGCATGCACTGCTGTTTTGTAATCTGACACTAAAAGCTTGTGTTTATCAGTGCAGATAGAATTGTGGTTAAGCAGATGCACATTGACATCAGTGTGGCTGCACTTGTGGTGTTTTCTTCTCACATTGAGGCCCTTTGCTAATTCTGTTTTTCTTTCTCACTTTATTCTGCAATGTGGAAGTAGCCCATGTTTTTTTTCTGAAAAATTTTAAAAATTCTGATTCCTTTGTATATGGAGGAATTTACAAAAAAAAACAGCAGTAAAAGTTCAAGCTACTTGAACTCCCTTGAACTGTTTTGAATGGCTAAAAGTCGATGGAAATGATCAAGACTGAAAGTCTTTGGACTGATTCTTATTAGCTGTCAATATTTTATATCATTCATTACCTAGAAAAAAAGGTAATGAATGAAAAAGGATTATATCAGGATGGAGTTCCCTGTTTTTATAGAAGTAGTTCAATAGTTATTTTAAAGCTTTCATTATTGGCATTGGTGTAAAATGACTTTTTTTTTTCTTTCATTCTGAGGCCAAAAATAACTTGATTAGTAATATCATCTATAGAGCTGCGCATCGATGGATTGCTCTTCAGTGTTTGGACTCTCAGTAGTGACTATTAAACCAGACTGAACTGAGCTAAACTGAACTGAACTTAAGCTCTGAAAATTTAACTACACTGTTTCAATTTACTATATCCTTCTATGTGAAGCTGCTTTGACACAATCTACATTGTAAAAGCGCTATACAAATAAAGGTGAATTGAATTGAATTGAATAGTAATAGACATACCATAATCCTTGAGACAATATGTTTCTAAATTCATTCTGACTCTTGCTTGGGAAGGTGGACAATAAGAAAAACACTCTTCACCTGTGGTGAGAAATGAAGAAACACATTTTAAAAGCAGTAATGGACCATTGCAAAATGGTAATCATGCTTATGATTTCAAAACATTTTGTAATCTATTTTAAATAGCACTTTGTACAAAGTAGACCACCAGTATCAATCTTTCCAGCAAGAGAAAGTGAAGGGCTGTTCTATATCTCTATTCAAGCATTTAATAGAGCTCGGGAGTCCAGGAGTGTTTTTTTTGTCTACAAGTGAAAGGCAGTCCTGGCGTCTCTGGAGACCTGGAGTTGGCCTGTCTACTCAGAGCAGATCATAGTAATGTGTGTGAAATCAATCAGTAGTAATGGACTGCACTGCTCTTTTTTAGATATAAGCAAAGCAGCTGCAGCAGGTATAAATTTCTATAATCATAGCATACTGTACAGTATTCTGTTGCTGTCAGTGGTAAAACATGCTATATTCAGAAAGAAAATATCTGCTCTGGGGTTTTTTCTGTCTGTTGGTCACCAAGCCAGATTTCAACATAGTATCACCCTGGAAAATATTTCACTTAGTCAGTGGCTTTTTTTATTATCTGAGTTTGGTGTCAGTACAAGCTAGTAGTGAGAGTGGAATCAGACGACAATAACAACAGTTTAAAAAAATGTCTAGGTCTTAGCCGGTATCATAAAACAAATGGCAAAGATGTAGACACATAGGGGAAAATATAAATTAGAGTTTAGAATACAGGAAGATGCTATAGATCTTCTACATATAAATACTTTATTTATATTACAAGATGTTTTTATTATGATAATCACCTGTATACTACAAATAAAATTGCTTTACTTCAGGTTAAATGACAATTTAAAGCTGGAGAATAGCATTCTGTTAGAAGGCATGAATGATTTCAATTGTGAATCTCAAAGAGAGACATATTAATATTTTGTTTTGCTTAGAACAGCACATTTGTTAAAACTTTTTTTTGCTAGGGAAATTAATTTAGCCAGAAAGCTAGTGATACTGAAGGGAAACATTATAAAAATAATACAGCTACATTCAGCTTGTGCATACCTCAACACATTTGTTACAAACAAAATGTTACAAAATAGATTCACTAGGGGGCAGTAAATCACTACTAATATAATTATATAGCATATATAAGTTGTTTGAACATTTGTTTTCAAATGAAAATATGCCAGTTGAATTTATTTACATTAAAAAGAAAACTACCCAAATGTCCAACTTTTGATCACTGTACATATATGAAATTCACTTGTTTTCAAATTAATGTAATGTTAATTAAAGTAATGTGTTTAATATTTCAGATAACTTTAAAAAAATAGGTGAAATAATGTTTCATTGTAACTTGGTGAATCAGAAATATAAATGTTACAATTAAACAGCTTATTCTTACTTGTAGTTATTAAAAAATATAAAAGAGTATGTGATTCTTCATGGAACATTTTATACAATTTTGCTGACAAATAGGTAAAATGCATGGATTAAAATATACAGATTAAAAATGAGAATTAGTTTTTTTTTGGCGGCTGCGCTGTAATCTTTAGTCGTTTTTATGTGTCATTATATGGTTATTTATTTATCATTATTATTTATGATTATTTCTGTATGCCTGAAAATATATATATTTTTGTTTATAAACTATGATTATGCTAAATGTCCTTAGTGGATGTCTTCTGTAAGCCTAGGTAAAAATGTACACCAGTATTTTTTTTAAATTACAATTACAAAATTACATGCTTGAAGTTTCTATGCTTGAAACCTCTTTTGATACATGCATTCGTAGCTCATAATAAATGAATATTTTTATTTGTTTCTTAGTGAATATATCCAATATATTTTTTGGGTGTATTTTAGGCATGGGTCGGTATAAGATTCTGATGGTATGATAACCATGGATATAAATATCAGGGTTCAACAATATCATGGTATTGTGATTACTGCTCTAAAATCTGTTCTTTTTGAAAGTCTGGGTAAAAAATAACAACCTTTTCCCCATTGATCGTGGTATGTATTTTTTACATTTAAAATATTTTGAAACAATAGATGTCAGGCTAAATAATTGAAAAGTCATGGACTCCTATTGTCTTAATTAGTTTCAAAAACACTGATTTCTTTTCGACTTAAAAAGCCATCTTTGGATATCTTTGGATATACGAGATTTGTTTTGCAGATGTTTACTAAATCATGGACTGACCAGTAACTTAATAAATAAGTTAACTCAATAAAATAGTCATAAAAACACTTAAATTAACAAAACTTAGAAAATACCTTAGGAAAGGTATAACAGAATATTTGAATGGTTTTAAAACCTTGACTTTTCAAAACAGCGGTAAACCTTAAAACCTGTTATCATCCCATGCCTAGTGCATTTAAACAAATATTTTTATTGCCTATAATCTTTAGGAATAGAAAGATAATACAATTAATTTCAATGAGTTATTGCAACAAAATATATACAAAGCTTTTAAGTTTGATATGTTTTATGTTTCTCTTGATTTGTCCTCGTTATTTACATTTTATTGAATATTTCTCTATCATATTAACTTAGGTATGCAAAGTTTTGGACTATAATCTTTAGATTTTTTTTGTTAGATTGGTTAGCTCCAGTTTTGGTTTTGATACAGACTAATCTAATGTATGTTTATGTAACAATTGCTTACCAATGCTGTACTGTGGCTGGTATACAGGGGTGGGTGGCGCAACCTCCTGAATACCTGAACAAACAACAGGCAGAAAGAAAGGAGGACGAGGGTCTCATTAAATTACAGCAAGCAGTGACAAGTTTATTTGTGTGCCTTTCATTTTGTCCTTCCTCTTTTTCACACCTCCGCTGTGGGTGACTTGCTCTAATCCCTGCGGTGGCTCATTAGGGCATACTTGCCATTTGTGAGTGTATGAGGGAGAAAGGGGACATGTGTGCTGTGACTGCAGTTTGCCCTGTTGTCTTTTAGTGCATGCAGAATGCTAGTGTTTAAAAACAAGCCAACGTTTATCACTGTGTGCGAGCCCACACAATTTTGAGCATGTGTGTGGTCTTAAAGGTCAATAGGGCCACCTATCAGGATGCCCTCTGCCACACACACATAGGTCTGCCACTGTGATAGGTCTGCAGCGCTGGGTCAACCATATATTACCCACGAGTTCTGTACTTCTGCCCATATCTCTGACACAACTGGGGCACTGACACCTTATCCTCCTCCTCCAACCCCCCAAACTCCAAAGTCCCTTAGCAATAAGTCATATCAAACGTCAAATGCCTGATACTTCAGATGCTTCCTTCATTTCAGTGTTTTTAGTCACAGAGGCATTTAGTGTGGCTCAAGGCATGTGTGAACGCAAGCCTGTACTAACTGCTTTAAAGGATGTGGTATATAGATAGAATTTAACATGGATAACATGAGACTTCCTGGCCAATGTTATCCAGAATAAAAAAAAACACAAATCTTCATGTGCTAATAATATCTAATGTCTGGGTCACTTTCCCTGTGACAAATGACGGCTGCGTTTCCTGCTCCATGAGAGGTGGCAAGTGGTCCGCTGGTGCTGGTTGTGTTTTTAGCTGCGGCTCGCCTTTGGTCCAGGAAAGACGGGAGCTCACGCTATAAATATCCATGTTGAGACGTTCCATTTAGAACAACAAACAAGCTCTTCTATCACTGAGCCGTAACCCGTGAAGAATTATGTGTCTGTCGTGCTGGGAGGGAAACAGGTCTGGTTGTACAGCACGACAGGTGCTGGTCGCCACACCATGTCATCCTTCTCTCTGTAGCTTGCGCCGTTACATGAACTCAGATGTAAAAATGTCACAATGCTTATTGGATTATCACTTAATGAAAATGAAGCACCCAGAAATCCTGGAAAGAAGTTGCAATGCTGATGAAAGTTTTTAGGTCTGTGTATGGTAGCTGCTATTCACTACTAAACCCTTGATAAACAAACAGTAGTTTGCAAAAGGAAGATACGGAGGATAAACAAAATAAGATGTTTAATTGGGTCAAGGGCAAATGGCCTCAAAAATAAACACACAATAGCAGATACTTGTAAATGGACTAAAGAATAACAATCAAATTAAAAATTGTATTTATTCTCTGAAAAATCCTTAAATGTTCTTATTTATCGGATCACCTACATGTATATAATATTGGTAGGTCACTGATCAGGTCTTCGGATCAGTTTATTTTTTCTGTACCAAGGTCCTGGTATAAGCGAAGTGGGGATCGGGCTTTTGTTGTTATTGCCTCAAAATATTGGAACAAGCTTCCACCCCATATTAGACCTGCTCCAACTTTATCTGTCTTTAACAGCAACACTGTGAAATAATATTACAATTTTATTATATGTATATATCCTCACTGTTGCTTTTGATTAATTTATTGTATTATTATTATATTATATGTAATATATAAAATACATTTATTACAAAAAGACCGACTCTAAATAGTGGAATGAAAGTGTAGAATTGAAAAGCTAGAAAAGCTCCTGCTGACCAATATAAGGTCTACATATTACAGTTCATTGGTATCAAGTGTCTTCATAATTTTTATGAAGATTAAACTTGTTTAATAAAATGTTTGATTATTGCTTATTAGTAGTTTGTCTGAAATCAGGAGTTCAATTTAGAAGTCAGACCTACCTGATTTCGCAGAGAAAGTTAACTATTTGACTTTTTCTTGAGTTGTTGGCATATCTTGTACAATCTCATTACTATAAAGTGTAACATTTATGGAAGGTTAGCATATAAAAGCTGGCCCATACACTCAAAAAAGTGTTTTTGCTGCTTGTTCAAGCTACTTATTTAAAATGAGCTGAATCAACACAATTTTCAAGTTCTTTAGGGGGACAACATGTTTTATATTTAATTCACTTTAAACAATCAAGTTAACTTCAAGTTTACACTTAGCTGATGATTGGTTATAAAGCTTTTTGGCATGCTGTCCCTGGAGAGAGCCCTGAGCTCATAAGATCCTCAAGTCCAGGGCTCCCTCCCATTGTAGGGCAGGAGGGGAGTTAGTGCTCACGTAGATCTCGAAAACTCCCTTGCTGTAGTAGCTAATGAACAGATTGGGATTGCTCTTAAGATATATCTTACGAAGAGCACATCTATGATGTCGGTTTGGATTTAGTCAAGGGCCCGTTGGAAATCTGCGTGAGCACCGGGAGAACATGAAAACTCCACACAAAAACGTCAGCTGGCTTAGAAAGGACCAGTGACGTTCTTGCTGTGAGGTGGCAGTGCTAACCACTGGGCCACCGTGCCACCCATCTAAGAAAGGAGGAGGAGTAGGGGTGGATAGGGGGATTCTTCGAAATAAAAAATGGCTGTGATATGTAAGTTAGGGTATTTAGAGTGACTAAGGAATCATCTGATTGGTGAATCATGAATTGGCGAATGCATGACCAGCTGTGTTCAATCATAAGCACCTGATCCTCTCTAATATAGTTTATAAATAAACTCCACTTAATCAATTTGTGTTGGGACAAAATAAAGGAATTGTGTGGAACTCAGCATTTTTCAATTTTACATATTGTAAGTAAAGTCACTGTCCACAAATAAGGTATGTAAGAAGATGGGATTTTACTAATTCATACAAATAAGCCACTAATTTGACAATATGTGAAATAATTATTAAAAAAACACAAAATTCAATAAAATTGGGTTGATCCCAAATGTACTGACTAGAATTTGAAACTGACAAGCAGTTAGTTATCTGTCAATAGCCAAACTATGGGACATTTAGTAATCTTTGCTTATACTGTATGTTATGGCCCATGTACAGTTGAAGTCACAATTATTAGCCCCCCTGTTTTTTCCCCCAATTTCTGTTTAACAGAGGAAAGATTTTTTTAGCACATTTGTAAACATTTGTTTTAATAACTCATTTCTAATAACTGATTTATTTTATCTATGCCATAATAACAGTAAATAATATTTGACTAGATATTTTTCAAGACACATCTATACAGCGTAAAGTGACATTTAAAGGCGTAACTAGGTTAATTAGGCAGGTAAGGGTAATTAGGCAAGTTATTGTATAAGGATGGTTTGTTATGTAAACTAATGAAAAAATAGCTTAAAGGGGCTAATAATTTTGACCCTAAAATGACTTTAAAAAAATTTAAAACTCCTTTTATTCTAGCCAAATTAAAACAAATAAGACTTTCTCTACAAGGAAAAATATTGTCAGACATACTGTGAAAATTTCCTTGCTTTGTAAAACATCATTTGGGTAATATTTAAAAAAGGAAAAAAAATTCAAATGGGGTCTAATAATTCTGACTTCAACTTTATGTTTGTACTCACAATCAAAAAGAGCTTGTTTTAAACCCAACTTTAGTTGTTTAACAGAATAAAATTCAAAGTAAGGTGTGATGCTTACGGATGCATGGTCGAAGCGGGGAGTGGCCTTGCTTGTACCCCGGGGCGCACCGGTTACACCTCTGTCCTATGACTCCTTCTCTACACAAACACTGCCCTGTGGACTGGTTACACCAGCGACCCACGGCACCCACGGGGTGACACTGGCATGCTAAAGGAGACAGAGATTTCACAAAGGAAATCACAAATTTTATAAAGACAAAAAGAGCAAGATGTGCTAAGAGAGGAAATTATTGTAAGACTAAGGGTATTAGTGTAAAACTGGCAGGCTTAGACACATGAAGGGAATTAACGAGTAGCATACACAGAACAAGGCAGCTGTGGTTCATGTCTTCAGTTGTATTTCAAGTCTCATTGACCCCTGTGTAACATTTTTCCCATAAAACATATGTGTGATGGTTGGGAGACCTTTGAGAGGAAAGATCTGCTTCTCTGCTTTTGCTCAACCTTTCTCCATCTAAACAAAGCTCCAACCGTCTTACAAACATTTATACATGCTTAAAAAGTCAGGTCTGTTTTAACATTAACAACATCTAAATCTTTCAGTTTCCAAATTTTTAAAGATAATTCTATCGCTTAATTCAAATATTTAGGTGTTAGCAGAGGTTTTATGGTATGTTCAGGACATAATTTAGATTTTTGTATACATTTCACCAAGTTACACAATAAATTACAAGTAAACACTGATGTGTGATATGCAGAGTAAACTGGTGTTATATTGGGACATTGACTAAAATGCTCAGTGAGCATGCCATAGACACGAAAGCAGTCAAAGGGCAAGTGTCAGAGCACATTCCATTAGTCATAGTGTAGCCATAACATAGACACAGACTATGCTACATTTCACACACTTTAGACCCCACAAATTCCAAAGCCAAAAAACAATATATACATTAATATAATTTTTTTTTCAGTTTTGGAAAAGCAAGTACAATATGCAAGCTAATACATGATCTCCACTCAAAATATACAGGCAAATAAATTTTTACTGACGCTGACAGGCCTTGCGGTGATTGAGTGCTTTGCTGTGGTCACGCATGTATCCGTTCTGGCAAAACTGGCAGTGGCGTCCTGTAGTGTGATGCCGGCATTTCAGACAAACACCTCCACTGACTCGACCAGACTGCTGATAAACGGCCATACTGAATCTACATTTATTAGAGTGACCGTTACATTCACATGCTGGGAGAGAGAAAAACACACAATCATGAGTGCAGCTAGAGATGTGAACAATAACACTGTAAAAACATTTTCATTTCAAAATAGCAATGGTGAACATTTTTTCGCCATTTCCTTAATTGTAGAATTTAAAAAAAAAATCCTTAAATTTATTTGAGAAGAAACACTCCATATGATTTATGCACATACACTTGAAGTCAGAATTATTAGGCCCCCTTTAATTTTTTTTTATATTTCCCAAATAATGTTTGATAATATTTTTCTTCTGAAGAAAGTCATTTTTTTCCGGTTAGAATAAAAGCAGTTTTATACTTTTTTAAAAACCATTTTAAGGTAAAAATTATTAGCCCACTTTTAGCTATTTTTTTCAATAGTCTACAAAACAAACCATTGTTATACAATAACTTGCCTAATTACCCTAACCTACCTACTTAACATGATTAACCTAGTTAAGCCTTCAAATGCTATCATCTTGAAAAATATCTAGTCAGATATTATGTACTGTCATCATGATAAATATAAAATAAATCAGTTATTAGAAAATGTGTTATTAAAACTAATATGTTTAGAAATGTGCTAAAGAACTCTTCACTTCATTAAACAGAAATTTATGAAAACAATTAACAGGGGGGCTAATAATTCAGGTAGGCTGATAATAATTCTGACTTAAACTGTATGATATCTTCTTTTTTATTGCTGCACTAGCAGATTTATTGAAGTACATACTCAAAACATAAAAATGTTTCAGTACAGTATACAATTTGCCATTACTGTAACAGTTTAAGTACGTTTCCCCAATATTAACTACTGGCTTAATATTACCATCATTAGTATGATCTTTATAAAGTATTAGCTACATTCTTAGGGTGCTTTCACACTTGGTTTAATCGCCTGGACCGAACCCAAGTTCGTTTGTCCCCCTTGCCACCTTCTCAGCTGGTTTGTGTTCACAAAGTCTTTTTTCCTTCTGAACCCCGCACACTTGCGTCATCAAGCTGCTGTTTTTTGTACAGCTGTTGCTAAGTGATGGCCACGAAAGTGGCTGCCAACCAAAATACAGAGAGCCAATTGCGTCTATCTGCTGCAAAAAACGTAAAAGCGTTCAGAACATCATGTGATGTCTGTAAAAGTCTTTTTTGTTGGAGACAAGTAGACATTATAACTGTTTGTACCGGGTCAGTCCTGCTTGTCACCAAGGCACAGTAGGTGATACACAGACATACACACATGAATGAACATTATGAAAACTAAAGTTTGTTGTACAGTTTGTTGTACAGAACCATACCAGAGTTCGCACAAACCCAGACCACCTCTTTCAGGCGGACTCTGGTACGGTTCACAGGTGCACACCCAAGATCAGAAGACATGTTCATAGCTAAATGTACTCCAAAGTCATATGAACCTGGCTGTGGACCAAAAGTGCCAGTGTGAAAGCACATTTAATCTTATCCAATACCTAAACCCAACTACTAGCTTACTATTAATAAGCAGCAAATTAGCTATTAAGAAGCAAATATCACTTATTTTACATTTAATCATTATTTTATTTACTTTATTTTTTACCAGGACAAATTATCTAAATATGTGGCCTCTAAAGGATTTTCAACCTGTTTCAAATAGCAAAACAAATAAATAAAGGAGCTATTTGCAAAACTTTTTATGTTTTAATTTTTTTGTTTTGTTTTGCCAGTGTTAGCAAGTGTGAGCAATACAGTACTGGCTCCAGTTCACTTAATGTCCAATGGTGTCCCGATTACAAGGGTTTATGAACTCTACATAAATCTCCATCGTGTGTTTTATTTCCCTCAACTATTATATAATGCAAATATTTGCATGTTTTATCTTGTGTAAAAACATGTGATTAATAGTTTCCCAAGGCAACATCAGTGTATTATTAAAGATACATTTAAGACAGACAGAGCACCAGACACACAGAGGCTTAAACTCACGGACGCACGGGTGTGGTTGGCTGGGTGTGGCCCGTTGCCATGGACGATCATAAAAGAATTGCTCACACATGTCACAGTCTGGCCCAGATGTGTGATGTTCACACTGACACACGGCATGCCCCTGGTTGTCACGACGACAGCGAGAGGCATGGCCATTGCACTTGCACCTGCCTCCAACCTGCAGGTCCGAAAGTGCAAGTGTGGGTTTCGTTGGGGCATAAAGAGACGAAGGGACAAGCTGGCGTGAGCCATTTTTTCTTTGTTTAAAATGGGACTTCCCCCTTCCGCCGTTGTTTCTTCTTCTCCTCAACTCTCTCCCCTTGGAGCTCTGCTGTTGGATATTTAGGGATCGATCACATGTGCCATCCTGGCATGGCCTGCTATTGTCCTTTCTATGGCCTCTTCCCACTCTACCTTGAGATCCCATCTCCTTTCGGGTAACATTGTGGCCGCTTTGCAGCACTGTGCTTTTATTCTTAAATCTCTGTGTTGAAGTCTGTTTTTCTCGACTATTTCCCCAAACATCGGTTGCTTTGGTGCCAGTGTTTTTCTCGCCAAACCTCAAAGCTTTGTCTCCTCTTTCTCTCCATCTGTATGCACCTCCCACTTCATTCATTTTCTCCTCTTGCTTTTTCATTTTGTCCATTGATTGATGAAATACTATCTTTATGTCTGTTGCAGTTACCCAATCTTGTAGTCCAGGACTGTAGTCAAAGTCTGGCGAGGAAGGACGTCCGTCCAAAGTCGAGAAAGCCAGCACAATATTTCCTCGATGTTTCTGCAGTGGTCTGGGATCTGAACAAAGTGGCTCCGTCTCCTGGTGTTTTGTCAAAGCAATTGACTGTGCAGGTCGCCCAAATGAGCCCATGCAGTCATTTGAATAAAACTGTAAGGGGCGCCAACTCTGGCCAAAGTCCATTGACTTTAAGATAGTAATGGAGTAGGACTCAACCGAATCCACCTGTTGACAAAACTGAAGACTAATGTATGTGATTTCAAAACGTCTTCCTAGGGGAACTATCAAAGTCCAATCCCCACCACTGGAGCCCTCTGAAGCTGTCCAGCATGTCAGATTGTGGGGGTTATGAAGATCTGTTAAAGTGCTAATATTTGTCTTGGGTCCTTGCTGGAGGTCCTCCATTGTCACGGGCACCCCATAAGCTGTATTGATGAATTCAGACAGGCAGTGGCGTGGACGCCCATCCAGGTGGTAACAGGGGTCATGGGGAGAGGTCCAACTGAGAGGAGATTGAGAAAGTATTGGAGACAGAAGTGAGAGAGGGAAGAGGGTAAAGAGGAAAAGAAGAAGGAAGGAGAGGGTCTGGAAAGGAGGGGAGTGATATCTGGACATGGTGTCGTCAAGCCTGTAACAGTAGGGAAGAAGAAAAAAAGGATTTTAAAAATTATAGGAGGCCATTAAATAAAAGGTCAGGGAACTGATGGGTTTACATGACATTTGAGGGAAGCTCAAACGGACGAGAGCATTGCAATATGAATTTTCTCAGACCGCACCAACTGTGCCACAATTAAAAACATCCCAGCTCTGTAGAAATTCATTCTAGGTTCTAAGTCGACCATTTCACACACACAGTCCAGCCAATAGGAGGCCTATTTGTCAGCAGGAGGCCTCTCTTTATCTGGGCTGTGTCGATGTGTCTAACTCAATGCGCTTTTAAACATATATTCATCTTGACGTTTTCAACTCTGTACAGAAAGATCAGGGGCAATTGAGTGTTTAAACATGGGGAGATTGCAAGAGATGACAGAGCATATGGAGCAGCTGGTCCAATATTCCAATCCCTTTTTTCGTTTATCATTTTTATGGCTTTCCTCAGCTTTAATCTAAACCTGCATGTTGGGGAACTGAGAGTGGAGATGTGAATAAGCAGCATTAAATCAACTAATTGTAAGTAAAAAGAGAAATTATTTGTAACTATTATTAGCAATCGCTATAAGATACAACAAACTTCTTTGCATGAGAAATTGTACTTTGCTCCATGCTTACTATTTACTCACATTAACTGACAATGTTGAAATTATCTAGAGGAAAGTAATTATAATTAAACACACATTACAATACCAGATACTAATTGCATGTGCATACTGTGAAATGTAGAATTGCCACATAAAAGACATGACAAACCTAAATGTAAGCATTAAATATGAATATATTGGCAGAATAGTATATTGTTATATTACACAGATAATAACAATAAATGTGCTCATTACATTCATTATGTTTACATACTGTAGATAAACTGGGAATTAGGGCTGGACTTACTGGTCGTTCTTTTATCTTACTATCCTTCGTATCTTACTTTATGTACTGTATGAAGTGTTGTTACATTTGATTATTGAACTTTTGTACCTCAATACTGCTAGGCTCTCCAGAAAACGATAAAGCGCTGTTTAATACATTTGTATCTTTTTTCTATTTTATTAATTTACGTTTGTAATTTGTTTATTAGGGTGGCACGGTGTTCGCGTGGGTTTCCTCCGCGTGCTCCAGTTTCCCTCACAGTCCAAAGACATGCGCTGTAAGTGAATTAAATAAACTAAATTGGCCATAGTGTATGAGTGTGTGTAAATGAGTGTGTATAGTTGTTTTTCAATACTGGGTTGTGACTGGAAGGGCATTCACTGCATAAAACATATGCAGGATAAGTTGGTGCTTCATTCCATTGTGGTGACCTCTGAAATAATAATAAATAAAAGTAATTAATTTGTTTATTATTATTTTATGCAGATTCTCTCCCCTACAAAATCATCACAGTCAACGTAAAATAATTATGAATTATTTCCCAACGAGTTATAAATCATCTTGTGAAATTACATTTATATGACAAAATATATCGCAGAAAAACTAAATGTTGCAATGTCAGTTTGTTTTCAATGTTGTGCATATAAAATTATTTTATTCTAAGTAGATACTGCTAAAAATTTTGGTTCCTCTGACTTGATATATGCATTAGGCTCAATGTCCAAGTTGGTTTCCGGGTTTTCCAGGACCCAGTGCAACATTTAGTTGTCCTTTTAGTCAGAAAAAAGGTAATCTCGTTGTGTGCCAGAGGATAAAGAAATTATGGATCTATCTAGATTAGAAAATAAAATAGTTGTGCCAGATTGAATGTGAGAACTGCATGTTCAATTTGAGCCTTCATTCAGCCTCTTCCTTTGGCAAGACATTGTAAGCCTGTACCCGCCTGTCTGCAGGCCCTTCGTAATGAATCTCTGTCTTCCACTTCTTGGCCTGATGATGGAGCATGTTTATTTATCTGATGAGAATCTACACCAGAAGTTGCAAAATCTCGCCTCCAGACATGAGAAACAATGCACTCACTCTTCCTTACATAAAGTGATATAGAGCCTTGACAGCTTGTGGGTTTAAAAGACTCAGACAGATGGGTTGCATCTGAAGCCCCTTCACTTCCAGTGGAACACATTGTAAAATCCTTCAGTCAGTGCCTCAGATGATCAGTTGTAAACTGTTGGTTAGTGCATCTAAAACTAACAGAGGAGCATTTGTTGTTCCCTCGGCTCCTCTCACACCCTCTCCTCGTTGGATCACCTGCTCTCAAAGTTCTGAGAATATTCCTAAGTGCTGATGATTGATGATGTCCTAACAAGCGTTTGACATTGACAGCAAAGTCAGCAGGGATGCATAAACGGCCCGGTAGGAGAGGGGAGCACTGAGAGATTCACGAGAGGAGTCACTGGCTCAATTAGCTCTTAGGCTGAAATTTGAGGACCCCTAAGGGACATAAAGGTCAAAAAAGTGCAGCGAGTAGTAGTATAACAACCCACTTATAATCCCTTGTTCTTTAGGGTTTCTGTACTTTTTAATATTAATTTTAATAAGAGTTTTTTTTGCAGAAAAAATAGCGAGGTTGCTGCCTTTACAACTCGAGGTGATGAGCGTACAACTGCGGGGCTGTCCTGCGTGCTTACCCGCTGCGGCACATTCCCAGGGTCCGGTGTGCGGCTCGCGATCATTCCACACATGTTGCGACGTGCCCCAGGGGAAAACTGAGAACACTGTGAAAAACCCTTCCGCATTAATTGATCGCTTGATTAATTGAATCTCCGGTTTCGGAGAGGCGGTTGTGTATCTGAGGGCGATGCGTAAGGCTGTAAGTTGGGAAAGTGATGAGGGTGTGGAGATATTCACGGCTGTCGGTGAAATAGGGAACTCGGGTCCCAATCATAGAGGGTTTGAGCCCCTTTCTAGATTACAATATATTTAATTCGTCTAGCACGTCCAGTATGAACCCTGGATATACGGTTTCCACAATTTACCCAGCTCTTTCCATAAATTCACACCTGGTGTAGTGCGAGAACTGCTTGGGCTTTAGGTTTCCTTTCCTGTTCACCAGAATTTACTTTTGAAAGCGATCGGGGGCGCGTCTTCATAAATTATCACAAAGTCAAAAAGAAAATCTCTGATCAACTTTGTTTGTGCTCGAGTATACAAGTTAGACTGATTGCCTTAGTTTAGATGAGGGCCAATTCATACATGAGTAAATATGTCATTAAGTTACACTTCATCCATAAAATTATGAGACAAAAAAAGTCTGCAACTACTCTTTAGTGAGCTTTTTAGCCACTTGTGGACCGAAAGAATATTTGATGACAATTGAGCTTGACCCTGAAGCTTTATTTATTAGGCTTATTTAGCCTAACTATATCTATTGAAATAAAATAATACGCAGCCTAGGCCTACTGCTTATTAATAAATTGTTATTAATGAATTGTGTTAAAATCCACTTATTCGTAAAACAAAAAATACTCAATCCTTTTGTTTTACAAATTATTTTTGAAGCAGGATATGCGACTTATGCGCCACAACATTTCTGCACAAATAAGCAAAACATCCAATGTCAAACATCCGCCCAAACACACGTATGTTCGCGTCTTCAAGTCGTCCAATCACATGTTGTAGTATGGCTACTTATAGCCACATTGACTGTTTCTGGTTTGATAAAAAAACACCTATTTGGTTGACTCTGCATCTTAACGATTGGAGAGTAGCCGACTTTAGTGTTTTCATAAGCAATTAATAATGCCTATGGCGTTATTTAAATAAATGCATAAAATAAAATTCTTAATAAAAGTTGCATGAAATGGTATATAGGCCTATATATAATTATTTAATTATAATTGTACTATATCACTATGTTTGCGAAAAAGCCGGTGATTTAGAATGCGATAGAAAGTTATCTCTTTTTCTCTGAAATATGATTTTGCACACATTTGGCACATAACTGGGTCTATTCTTAGGAGAGCTGGATACCTGTCAGTTCCTGCGTGCGCATAGCTGCTGTTAACGTTTTAAATCTTAGCCACTGTGTGTGTTGTCGGACAGATGAGAGAGATTTGGCCTGCTTAACACATTTGAACATTCTTCGTCATGGACGACAGCCAGTCAAGGTTGTTCTGAATCCTTGACAAGCGATTCCCGAGACAGACAGGCCTACACCTGGGGTCCATGTTTCTGAAATAAAGTGATTTCAAATTGTGTGATTTATCTCTTCAAGGCCGATGTCCTTCATTAATTAATCGATCACTGTCTTTCTGCTCGTTTTTCTCAGAACAGGAACGTATTTTGCGCTTCCAAATAGCTGTCAGTGTCACACGAAGGAGACGCGCACGCCATGTAGCAGCTGTAGCTTTCGGATACTTTCGGATGGTCTTTATACATGATGCATACAGTATAGAGACACATTGCAGTTTAATTGAAAGCCTAACATATTAAGTCATGTAGTGGATGTCGGTGAATTGTTGTCTTGATCAAAGCAGCACTGGCGTTCTTCAGCACAAATAGCTGCTCGTATTTTTAAAGGCAAAGTTGTCACGCGCCTTTGGAACCAGAGGGTCAACACAATGAGTTTTCAAAGAGAAAAAGAAAAAAAGATAAAAGAGTGCTAGGCCTAATGCCCTTATATTTGTTTATCAGACAGTCAGCTGTGATATTGCAAATGTGAGTGTTTAAATACGTCTGACTTCGAATCATGATCTGCTGACGCGCGTTTCATGAAATCTTACTCAGAAAGCCAAGCCAGATGTAACTTTCTATGCTTTGAAGTTTACGTAAGAATATTCATATGCGCCCATGTCAACTATAACATATGCCTAACAGGTCCAAGCAAGGATACATGTTTGAATAGGAAAACACATGTAGTGCTGTACGGTATATACAGCGGCACAGGCCAGGGAGAGAAGGGGGGAAAAGGGAGAGAGAATCCCTCTCTCTTTCTCTCTCCTCTCTCTCACTCTCTCTCTCCCACGCTATGTGCCCTGGCAGACAAATCATGAAATTTCCCTCCAGGTTTCGTCTCAACGTTGAAAAACAGATGCAAAAGAAATCGCCGTCCGTGATTCCATTCTCCATTTGTGCCAAACACAACATTCCATGATGAACCTATGGGTGGAACAATTAGCAAGGGGGGTTTCATCCCATTTATCCTTAATTAAACATGTAAAATGAAGGCAAACCATGTGTTTTAGAAGATACACAAGAGAGTACATCATCGTGTCAAGTACGCTGGCACTATGGCAATAGCTGGTAGAGATCATCTTCTTTTTAAGAAAAAAAAAGATAACTCATTATTGCAGGCCCATCGAGATTTTATCCCAATTCTATTTCCACTGTAATCCGAGTTAGAATTGTGCAATGAGAATTAAATCACATGGGACGTGAACTAAAGCGAACCCTATAATGATCATTTAATGAAAAATTCTGTTTTATGGCGCAATAATTACAACCATTCGTGTTTATCAGTTGACCCGACATATGTCACAGAATAACGAGGCAAAGTGCGCCCGCAGAACAGGGAACGGAAATTGCATTTTTTTAAAACTAAAATAACGGTTTTCCAGCTGGCCACCTACATGGCCTTAAGCTGTTTTTTTTTTTTTTTTTTCAATCTTATGTTTTACCCAGTCGCAATTGTCAAACTTGATGTGCCTCATTAGACGTATTAATTATGGCTAATCAATGAATATGTAAAACTGCAATGAACTTTCCCCAATTAGTTTTGTGTCATGCTGTAGGCTATATTTTATGCACCATGATAGGAAATAAAACAAAGCATATATATATATATATATATATATATATATATATATATATATATATATATATATATATATATATATACACACATATACTGCAGACTTTATAAAATGTCAGATTTGGATGTCTTGCCAATTTCACCCTACGCGCTCTTCTGAAAAACGCATAAACGGCCGTGCAGATTTATAATTAAATACTGAAATCAATATTATTCCTATATGTAAGGGAATGTGGACGAATATATTCCTTAACCTAAGCTAAATAATGTTTCTGGATTGTTTGACAAGATTTGCGGTGAGCGCAGACAAATGATCTCATTATCCTTAAATTACGCGTAGCCTTCCGGCAATTTTGTTCTGTTCACAGATCATCCAGCCCATCCGCATCTGACAGGTAACCTGTTTTTCAGTCAAGTATTTTATAGCCATGTTACTGTACATTTTGTCTTTTTTATTTTCTATTTAGCCCATTTATTTGTCTGATATAAAATAAAAAATGAAGAAATAAGCGTTTAAAACAAAAATGAAATTCTTTATAATACAGGATACATTCAGATATTTATTTTTTGTCATACAATTATAAGTTGTAGTAGAAGTTATAGGATTCAAAAATAATTATCCAATGGTGTTTGCTCTGATTTTTTAAAAATGTGCATTTAAATTAGGACGATGTAAATGTATGTTTTTGCATTTATGAACCATTTTCTTGTTATAGATCTACTTTTAGGAGACCAACACGACTGAAAATATTTGGACTTAGTAATGTAGTGCTCGGAATTAAAAAATAACATTGACTATGAAGCAGGCAAACCACTAAAACATCTTAAAATATATATAAAAAGTTGTTTGATTGTAAAACAAATTAAAACTTTGTAATGTAATGATGTAAAGTACTATAGATACTGTGATAATACAATTTGTTGAAATATAAAATAAAATAATACCATGCAATAAGTATATAAGCTTTACAATTTTTTTTAATTTAAGAAATCCTTTATATATTAAGGATCTGTAACAGAACTTTTGCAAACTACATTAGCACCATCACCAGTTAAAACTAATCAACAGGTCAGTGCGTTATTCTAAATTTAAATCTCTTGTCAGCAGTCCTAAGCAAGCCTGTTTTAATTTAGGCAGAGAAGCATACACAAGAGCAAAACTTAGTTTACCTACCATGTGCGTGTCGATGCGGGTTGCCGGTGTAGCCGCGTCCTGGTTGATCAATAAGAGCACAACAAGTGGACAGATATTCAGGCGGAGCAGCGTGAGGTCCTGCTGCGCTCAATGCGCCGCGGCAGGGTTACGTATCACCCTGACGTCAACTCCTCCACAGGACACACGCTGAATGCCTGTACATGCATTAAGCACAAGAAGCATGAATGCACTAAAACGAAAGACAAACTTGATTCTCTGACTCTTCAGCTGAGAAAATATCACCTATGGCAATTTTGGTTATGCGCCGTGATCTTGAACCTGAACCCCTGCGGGCGCCAATTCAAAGTTCAATGCGCAATTGAAACAACACTTTGGGTAACCCCAAGAACGAGGCGCTCCCTCTCTGGAGAGGATCTAAAGCTGACACATATGGAAATAGTGAGTAAGGGTGAGGCAAAGAGAGAGAGAGAGAGAGAGTGAAAAAAGAACAACTGAATTGAAAGGGAAACAAAAGAAACTCTCCCAGAGCGGTCCCATAAAACTGATTGATGACTTCCCTGGAGGACTGTTTCCCAGGTGTATGCTAGTTTGTACCAATGCTATATCAAGGTTTGATATTTTTGGATGATTGTCAAATACAACAAACTTAATTGAGAGATGAACTGGTACAATTGAACACATCACATATTCTTGGCATTCTTTCACCCCACAGATCAGTTTGACTGTCTGCTGGATCTATTACGCCATGTGATATTGAAAGAAAGCTGGAGAAAGTCCAGACATTGAGACAGACAAGGAGAGTGTTTGAGAGACGTGAGCAGCAAGAGCAAATGTCACCAAATGGAGGTGAGAGCTACTGTGGTCAGACTGCAAAATAACACCAATCTCCAGGTGTTCAGAACAAAGCATCTATAGAATGGCACTTCATTTATCAGCATGATCAAGTTATGGATTTCATTTATTGTTTAAAGGAGGAAAAAAAAAGTCCAGTGCTTAAGTATTAGTCTTTGATTGCAATTAGAGGTTCTGTAACCTTTTTAAATATTAAAGCCAGCTTTAGTCATTTATCACTGAGCTTTTTTTCTCTCTCTCTTTCTTCTTTTGTTGTCTGAACGTGTCTCATTTCCACTCATTTCATCCTTAATTAAGATTCAAGTATTTGATGATGCAAACAGTGCAAAACTGTGTTTGATTTCGAAACAGCTGCTTGTTAGAGCTTTGTTTTTCCTAGAGACGAAAGGAAGTCAGAATCCTTGGCGTAATTTCTGTTTTAATTTCAAATGAAACACGTCATTTTTAATTCCATGGATACATATTTCATAACTGTTTGGATCAGCTATCACACACAATAACATTCCACATTTAAAGAATAATCATACCAGCAAAAATGTGCTTTATGATACAATATGGCAGAAATTAAGGCATGGACAAAATTATAATTGTTATTTTTTATTATTGTTACTATGATTATTATTAACAATTCAATTCGTCTTTATTTCTATAGTGCGTTTACAATGTAAAGCAGCTTTGTTAAAGCAGCTGAACACTTTAACTGCCTGCTCTACCAAATGGTTGACCAAGTTTTTATTGTTTTAAATAATGACTGTTAAAGTCATTTATAGAATGACTGTTTAAATAATGGTTTACACACACAATATTGTTGGTTTATAAACAATTAAAACAAGCACAATCCTGTTGTACTACACTTGATTTTGGTTTTATTGTAAAAAAAATAAATATACAAATAAAACAATGTAAATGAGAATCTGAATTATTTCATGGCTTACTTTTAAAAAAATCTTTATTTTTGAAGTATGCCATTAAATATTTCGGATTCTCTGATTTAGTATTCACAATGTTTTATTTTGATTATGTTTTTAAATAAATTGGTCTTACACTTCATATTTTCTTAACTTTTATAGTATACAGTTGAAATCATTATTAGCGCCCCTTTGAATTGTTTTTCTTTTTTTAATATTTCTTAAATAATGTTTAACAGAGCAAGGAAATTTTCACAGTATTTCTGATAATATTTTTTTCTTTTAGAGAAAGTCTTATTTGTTTTATTTTTGCAAGAATAAAAGCAGTTTTACATTTTTTTAAAAACATTTTAAGGCCAAAATTATTAGCCCCTTTAAGCTATGTTTTGTTTCTATAATCTACAGAACAAACTATCATTATACAATAACTTGCCTAATTAATCTAACCTGCCTAGTTGACCTAATTAACCTAGTTAAGCCTTTTAATGTCACTTTACACTTTACACTTTACTTTATCTAGTAAATTATTATGTACTGTCATCTTGACATTTCATTGTTAATCAAAATAAGTTATTAACCGTATTATGTTTAAAAATGTTGAAAAAGTCTTCTCTCCGTTAAACAGAAATTGGGGAAAAATAAACAGGCGAGCTAATAATTCAGGGCATTTAATAATTCTGACTTCAACTGTTTGTATTCATTCCGGTATTTTTACAATAAACCGACATATCTACCATTCGGTAGAGGTTTGATATTTTAGAAATTATAGGATGTGTTGAAAAAATGCACAGTTAGGAGTTAAGAAATGCAATCCAAAATAGTTTTTTCTTGGTGGGGCAGTTAAAGGCTTAACATAAGAAATCAAAACTATATTCATTGGTAAATATTTCCTCTCTTAGTCTAAATGTAATTTTTTTCCAACATTTTTTGTGATAAAATTGAATATGCTTTAAACTGTCTAAAAAGTAAGATCGAAAATTCAATGGTGTAGAAATTAAATTTCAAAATCACCCTATAATCTTTCTGTAAATGGAATCAAATGTCATTCCCACATGCTGTTTAACATATGCACTTTCTGACATTTATTTACATTTAAAATGTAAATTATACTTAAGGGATAAATGTTAACCCAGTTACAAATGCATATAAAAAGAGACAGCTCTCACACCTTTTTTGTGCAGTACAGAATGAGTTATAAGAGCAGGAGTAAATGGCCAAGAACAAAAGCACAGCACTGGTGGTAAGTCATGTGTGATTAATAATGTTTAGAAGAATGTGTAGTAAAGTTAATGACTGTAATTGGTCATTGAAGTCATTAGCTGCTGGCCCTGCTTTGTAAGTGGGAATTTAAGAAGTTTATTAAACAAACCCACATTAGGAAAACAAAGCATGAAATCAAGTAATAAAAAGTGCATCTGAGAGATGTAAATACAAAGTCTACTTGTAAAATTTGAGATCTCAGAAAAAACTATTAAAGAAAAAAACATTTAATATGAAAAGCTTTAGTTACATTGTAAGCAAGTGTGTGTGTGTGTGTGTGTGTGTGTGTGTGTGTGTGTGTGTGTGTTATATATATATTAGCCTCCTTTTGAGTTTTTTTTTTACTTTTTTAAATATTTCCCAAATGATGTTTAACAGAGCAAGTAAAATTTCCACAGTATGTTTGATAATATTTTTTTCTTTTGGAGAAAGTCTTATTTGTTTTATTTCGGCTAGAATAAAAGCAGTTTTGGAATTTTTAATCACCATTTTTGTGACAAAATTATTAGCCCCTTTAAGCTAATTTTTTTCGATAGTCTACAGAACAAACCATCATTATACAATAACTTACCTAATTACCCTAACCTGCCTAGTTAACCTAATTAACCTAATCAAGCCTTTAAATCTCACTTTAAGCTGTATAAAAGTGTCTTGAAAAATATTTAGTCAAATATTATTTACTGTCATCATGGCAAAGATAAAATAAATTAGTTTTCAGAAATAAGTTTTTAAAACTATTATATTAAGAAATGTGCTGAAACAATCTTCCCTCCGTTAAACAGAAATTGGGGGAAAAAATAAACAGTGGCGTTAATAATAATTTAGGGGGCTAATAATTCTGACTTCAACTATATATATATATATATATATATATATATATATATATATATATATATATATATATATAATTTATTATTTTATTATTATTTTTTTTTTTGCTTCAATAGTTTTTCTGATGTCTCAAAATGTGTGTATTAATGGTCAGAATAAATAAAATTAATGATAAAAATTATAAAACCAACGTTGGGCGAAGCAGCGGCGCAGTAGGTAGTGCTGTTGCCTCACAGTCAGAAGTTCGCTGGTTCAGGCCTCGGCTTTTTTTTGTGGAGTTTGCATGTTCTCCCTGCGTTCGAGTGGGTTTCCTCCGGGTGCTCCGGTTTCCCCCACAGTCCAAAGACATGTGGTACAGGTGAATTGGGTAGGCTAAATTGTCTGTAGTGTATGAGTGTGTGGATGTTTCCCAGTGATGGGTTGCGGCTGGAAGGGCATCCACTGCGTAAAAACTTGCCGGATAAGTTGGCGGTTCATTCCGCTGTGGCGACCCCAGATTAATAAAGGGACTAAGCCGACAAGAAAATGAATGAATGAATTAACGAAACCAATGTTTTTCATTAATATGAATATTTACAGCATAACCAGATCACTGTAACAAGACAAACATCTAGTTTAGAACACACTAGGACGTATCATTGCCATTATTCTTTCGGATTTACCTCAACACAGAATGAAACTGGATCTAAAACTGCTCCAGGTGAGGCTCGAACTCACAACCTCGGCATTGCTCTGCATCGTACTGTCTTATAAGTACCGCGCGCTAACCGATTGCGCCACTGGAGCGTATCTTTGTTTACAACACTGTTTATCTAAGAATAATCCATCCAAATGTTCGTCATGACAATAGAACGAAGCTGGTGTTTCCATAGCTTAAAAAAAAAAATGTTACACTGATCTGGAGGTTCAAAGGAAGTGATGCTGTCAAACAACTTTCGTTGGATTCAAAAACAGTTTATTAAAAAAAAAAAAAAATTCCCACTGAGTTTCAGCTTATTAAATGTCCTAGGCTATTTGTGAATGGATACAGTAGGTTCCTTAGTTTGGTTTACCACCAGTTGAGCTGTACCGCCCCCTTGTGGTGTCTATTCCTTCTTAGTTGGTGGCAGTTTTCTGGTATTTTTAAAACCCTTTTTTAGCAGTTGGTAGCAAACTAGTGGTCAGTGTGGCACTGAATTACATGGTTTTCTTAATTTTGTTACAGTGAGTGTTAAACTTCAACAGACCTAGAAGCATTAATCCATTTGTCATGTTTAGTCATAGCATAAATTACAGTTCATGCATTATATTAGCCTCAGTCAACAAGAAGAAATAATATCTTTAAAATATATATATATATATATATATATATATAGAGAGAGAGAGAGAGAGAGAGAGAGAGAGAGTTGCCATTTTCTAAAAGAACCAATGAATGTTGCTTTCCTCAATATGCAAAAAATCTAATAATAAAATAATTTCTTACACAGTTCAAGCTGTAATTATGTCGCATGCTTTTAACAGCTCTGGAGAGTTTTTTTTTATTTAAATTTATTACCACTTAAATATTTCATTGGAAATATGAAAAGAGTGGGCGACGCAGTGGCGCACTAGGTAGTGCTGTTGCCCCACAGCAAGAAGGATGCTGGTTTGAGCCTCGGCTGAGTAAGTTGTCGTTTCTGTATGGAGTTTGCATGTTCCTCCGGGTGCTCCGGTTTCCCCCATATGTGTGTGAATGAACATGAATAAATGTTTCCCAGTGATGGGTTGCGGCTGGAAGGGCATCTGCTGCATAAAAACGTGCTTGATAAGTTGGAGGTTCATTCCGCTGTGGCGACCCCAGGTTAATAAATGGACTAAGCCGAAAAGAAAATTAATGAATATGAAAAGGGTAGAGTTAAAATGATGGGTAAAGATTATTGATCATATGCATGCATACTTAAGTTTTTTTCTTGCACTTGAACACTTATTTGTAATTACTTTTTGACTTGTAACCTAGAAAACCTCATAATTTAGACATAAGTAGGCCCACACGGAATCTGCGCGCGCAGAATTCCGCAGATTTTCCGCAGATTTTAAGCCCATCATTAATTCTGTTTATTTACTTGTAAATCTAAATTTATTCAGTTTTTGTTCAGTAATTTATTACTTTTTATTTCATATATTAAGGTTTTAGTTATGATACTCCGCTGGATACTCCCAAAATAATTCCGCAGAAATCTGCAGATTTTTACCAAAATTCTCCGCAGAAATAGCAAAAAACATCCGCAGATTCCGTCTGGCCCTGGACATGAGTAATAACATATGTGAAGAACATGATTGTTTCGCAGTGTACTTTTGCATAAGAACTGATCACTGACCAATCCCACCACCAGAGCCTTACATTCAGTTTATAAAGGCTCATACACAGATGGTCAATTTGACAGGACCGTCTTTAGTCTGTCAAACTACTTCATACACACACCCACACCCACACCCCCCCCCACACACACACACACACACACACACACACACACACAGACACAGACACAGACACACACACACAGACACACAGACACACACAAATTAAGACAACAAGCAGATGACTTATGCAAAAATGCATTATTTAAAAGGATTACTGTACATATATCAAGCAGCCACAACATATTTTGAAATTACCCCAAATACAAAATCCTAAAACCATCTGTTTGTTTCAGACACAGTTGTGCAGTAATGATAAATACTAATACAATTCCCAATCTGATCTAGAAGTAAAAAACACTGGTAGTGTCTGTATGTGCTGTAACATATCTGCATAAGGCAGCATACAATAAAAGGCACATTGCTGGGAACACTGCATACAATTATCAATTCAAAATGTCAGCATCGATAAAAAAAAGAGGTAAAATACGAAGGACTCTTCACATCCCATTCTCTTGTAAATGTAACAGATTTTGGAAAGTGTTCTGTAATGCAAAACAATTACACTCATATGGATGTGCTTCTTGGTTCCAATTAGCTTTGTGCAAAGATAACATACTGGTTGTGTGCATTCTTCAGCCATTACGGATGTGCTTTCACAACTCTCCTGCATCATGGGTCTCTTTTCCATCCTTCCCTTCACTCTCCTCTTCAGATCCCTTCATTCCCATGTCACCTTTCCATATCTCAGTAAGACACTCTAAAAGACATATGAACATTTCAAATAGTGGCTTGACATGTTTGTCTGGAAGGACTGGGTAACAAATCTGTATATTAAAAAAGCAATATTAAAAATGCGTGCAGATCCTGTTTCCACCTGATATTAACGGTAATTTTCAGAGCTTCGATCAAAAGTCAGCTAAGATGCATTACTATTTCCACCTGGAGTTAACATCCATTTTCAGTGATCCAATCACAATTGGTCAACAAAGACGCATTAATTTTTCAGCCTGGTGCTAACATGCATTCAAACGAGTCCCTTATGACCACTTGTGTTAAGATTTTGTCAAGCCCTGTGCCTCTTAGTCATGCTCTACAAAATTTTCACATGAACACTCGGTGCTACCCATGAGTATTACTCCATTCAGTATGAAAGCAATCTGATTTAATACGTCTTCAAATATGTCTGCAAGTGGTCAGAAAAGGACAAGCTCAAAACTGGAATTAGGCAGTTGTGGTCTAATGGTAAGGCACAAATGCAGAGCACACATTTTGAGCAAGGGTAACCCTTCTTGGCTTTTTAATACCAGCTCTAAACAGGGTTGAAGTGTTTTTATACCTTGGTCTGAGTCTTTCAGGACATGGGCTTCACAGAAGAATCTTTCCAGTCCTTTGTCTTGATGATGAAAATACCAGTCCTCCACAACCTCTTCATGCTCTTCCAACATGGTCTCACACTTTAAAAGAAACATAAAAAGATGTAAAAATATAAACTTTTATATTTACATGTTACCTTATGGACCCAAAAGACATTTACCACTTTTATTTTCTTTAATTAATTTATTCATCTTTAGTTATTTAAGTATTTAAACCTACAAAACATACTGTTCCAAACAATAATAGCTTTAGAATGTTCATTCATTCATTCATTCTCCTTCGGCTTAGTTCCTTTATTCATCAGGGGTCGCCACAGCGGAATGAACTGCCAACTTATCCAGCACGTGTTTTACAAACTAGATGCACTTCCAGCAGCAATCCAGTACTGGGAAACATCCATACTCATTCACACTCATACACTACAGTCAATTTAGTTTATTCAATTCCTTTATACCCCATTTCTTTGGACTGTGGGAGAAACAGGAGCACACGGGGAAAACCCACGTGAACATGGGGAGAATATGAAAACTCCACAAAGAAATGTCAACTGACCCAGCCGGGACTCGAACCAACAACCTTCTTGCTGTGAGGTGACAGTCCTAACCACTGAGCCACCATGTCGCCGGCTTTAAAATATGTATAAACAAATTAATAATCGTAGGATTCTTAGTAAAATTAACAATCTCAGCTAGTTGCTGTTTTCTCAGTGAATGTGTTGTTAATCTGCTCTCTTGATTGACTGCCCAAAAAAACAAAGATAAGAAATGAGGTTGATTGACTAATATAATTTGAGAACATGAAGATGCATTCATTTATTCATTACCTGTCTCTTCAGTTCTGCCACTTCCACTGTTGGTTCATCCCACAGTTCATAGGGGACACCCAGTTCCACCTTTACACCTTTTTCCACCAGGTTCTTTAGTGTGTTCATAGTTTGACTTGTGCCCTGAAAAACACAGAGATGTAAAAATAATCCAGCCACAATAGTCTGCAAACACACACATTTTATGTTCTGGCTTACTTTAGTGCAAGGGAGGGATGAGTAAAACGACCTAAGGTCAGCTCAATACCTTGGCATATCGAAGGCTTCCTGGTCTCTCAGCATGCACCTTATACTGTAAAATTCTTTCACAGATGTTATCCATGGCCTCAGTGAGTCGCATCTCTCTGGAAACAAATAAATCGTAATTATGGCAACATAGGGAGGATACTGATAGAGTTAGACTCCCCCTAACATTATTCTTCTTATGGGGACATTCTAAAACACAAACGTAAAAACAGGACTTAATGTACCCAAACATCATCAAATTTCTGCCCAACTTTTGTAATTAACCCTAACATCTATAAAAAGAATGAGAGCCAATTCCATAATTAAAGTGAAAAACATCATGTTAAGCATTTTCTTCCCTAATGAAGTCCATTATAAGGAAAAAAGTTAAATGTGGCTTAATTTATCTTTACAACAAGCGGGGAAAATCAATTTTCTATCAAATATTAGTTGTGATTAGCACTTACTACTAGCAAAAGAATGAGCCCCGTTACCACAGTTAATGTGAACAATACTGTGTTAAGCAGTTTATTTTGTTTTGAGTGTCACAGAGGCCAGCTAGTAAGTGCTGTTCAGGTAATCCTCACTTCTCTGACCTCTAAAGGTGCTCTAGTGAGAAACGCTAGAGGCCAAGGTCTTTAGCTCCTTGTTAAAGCAACCGACTCCCATGCGCTTGGTCACCAGTTGGATACCAGCTCGAAGTGGGTTGGGTGGCGTAGGACCAGCAGTGTTACATGGGCATATCAATAAAATCCCCAAGCACATTCTTTTGACAGTAAGGGTTAATCTATTATTAATAAAATTTGATTTTATGAACAGCCTTTTTAACAAATGGTTTCCCTCGGTTGTTGTAAAGTTATGATAAGCCTTTCTTTATTATGGACCTAAATTGGTGAGAAAACGTTAAACATGATATTGTTGACGTCATCTATGAAATTAGGGCCTGTTTCTATGACAATAGTCAGTGTTAATCACAAGTAAAGTTTGACAGAAATGTGGGTTTCCTTAGAATGGACTTTTATAGAAGGAATGCTTAAAATGATATTGTTCACTTGATATACTAAAATAAAAGCTTGTTCTTTTAACAGCAGAAAGTGTTTATTGAGTGTATTTTTATAGAAATTGGATCGACTCCAGATGTTGTCAATTAAATCACATTAAGCTCTTATAATGGACTTTAATGGGGATAAAACTATTAATGTGACATTGTTCACTGTATCCACAGAATCAGGGCTTGATCTTTTGCTAGGAGTTGATTAAAAGCAAAATTTCATTGATTTTTGGTGTGCTCAATTTTTTTTGAGGTATTTTGTGGTGGACTTAAAACACACAAGGCAAAGTTTTTCTCACTACAAATTGAATTGAAGCTCATTCTTTTGACATCAGAAAATATTTGTCATGCGAATAAAATTTGATAGAAATTTGGTTTGCTGTTAAGGTACATTAAGCCATGTTAAACTTTTTCCTAATAATGGAAATTAAAAGGGGTGATAAAACACTTGCTGTGATGTTTTTTACATTATCTTTGGAATAGGGACTCGTTTTTATTAGCATTTTTATAGTATTTAGGGTTAATTACAAGAAACGTTTGAAATAAATTTGGGTTTCTCTGGTTGATTTTTTTGTGCATTAAGGTTTTCTTACACGTTAGGCGTTTTAGAATGTCTTATTTCGTTTCTCATTACTACACGTAGTCAGTATGCTGTAATTACTTACGAAGTGTTGTATTTGATTTTGCGCCTGCGCTTGCCAGTGTCCAAAACTTCTCCAAGCTCCACAACTTCCTTCGAGCGGCCAGTTTTATCTAAGGCGTCCTGCAACTCCACCGTCAGTAATTTGCAAACTATTAAAAACACATTTATTAAAACATCAATAATGCTGTAACTTTAATAAAAACCCATTAGTTGTTGTAGAAGATTTATGCTGTATTTTAGTTTATTTCCCGTGAGAGTTTCTTTTATTATTTAACATCTGAGGGTTTAAGTTTTTCTTTTTGTTTCTTACCCTCGCATTTATTCGGTAATCGCTCCTCTTGATTGGCCAAGACGAGGCTAAACATATAAAACAAGAAAACAGTAAACATTTCCATACTGACTACAAACTTATGCTAACAGTATGAGTTTGTATTAAAGCCTCATCAACATGCTTGTTTATGATAACTTTGAGCTAGTGGAAGTGAGCATGCGCGCTGCCAAGTCGACGCTAAGAAATGTAAACAGAAAACGCGTTATCGATTTAGGCACAACTAATCGAAAGCGCAACGCATTGATCTTGGTTAAAGAGGCCCCGCCGCATGCATATATCAGAAAGAAACTATCTGCTTGTCAAAGTAATGAAAAACACGTGAAAATCGGAGAAATATCTTTAAGACTCCAGATTGAGAGCAACGATTAATCAACAATAAGTGCTTTAAAATTGTCATTTTCCTAAGGTTTACCACTCACCAACCCAAACTTGATGAAACTATTAATAACTGTAGAGCTTTTTAGCTGTCTGAAAGACAAAGTGAAGTCTATGAGAACTATTGTCCCGCCTAACTCTTTGTGTCCTTGAGTGATTTGAACAGGTTTAAAGTTTAAGTGATGTGTATTTATAACAGTGACATGTTGATTGCATTAACTCAGATGGCTGGCACTTGCTTTTCAAGTCTTTCTGTCATCTGTAAAAGCCATTTAGAAAAGATACAAAGTAATGTATTTTGTATCAGTATGTCTCAAGTACTTTGTTTTATTTGGATTAGCTTTTGGTTGAGAGTTAAAGTTTGTGTGTCTTCACAGGGGAGCCTGGTCGCATTACGCAGCCATCAGGATTCAGGTGTCAGAGCCACCCGTTTATTGACAGCCGATATGGTATGATGAACCTTCTGGTGGCTGTGTATGGGAGGGGGTTGAAAAGCAAATCAGAGAGACTGATGGTTAATTGCTTTATTTCTTTTAACCGTTTTATTAATCGTAATTATGCATAGATAGTGACTATAAGGGCAGTAAATAGAAAGATTTTGCTATTTAATGTGACATGCATACAGCTGTAATATTTACACATCTCAGTTTAACTGAGAAATATTTTTAAATACACATTTGAGAAATAGAGAAGAAGTCTTGTAGACAAGAAACATTGGCTACAGTTCTAATATTATATTATTTCATGTTCCTTCAGCTTAGTCCCTTTATTAATCAGGGCTCGCCACAGCGGAATGAACTGCCAACTTATCCAGCATATGTTTAAGCAGCAGATGCCTTTCCAGCTGCACCCCAGTACCGAGAAGCATCCATACACAATCATTCACGTACATACATCAGTTTAGTTTATTCAATTCACCTATAGCGCAGCACATGTCTTTGGACTGTGGGGGAAACCAGATCACCCGGAGGAAACCCACGCCAACACGGGGAGAACATCCAAACTCTATACAAAAATGCCAACTGACCCAGCCGAGGCTCGAACCAGCGACCTTCTTGCTGTAAGGCGACAGTGCTAATCACTGAGCCACCGTGTCGCCATGTTATATTATATTATATTATATTATATTACATTTCTTAGCGTCGACTTGGCAGCGCGCATGCTCACTTCCACTATATTATATTATATTATATTATATTATATTATATTATATTATATTATATTATATTATATTATATTATATTATATTATATTATATTATATATAATATATTATATAATAACAGGCCTCGGTTGGGTCTGTTGGCATTTCTGTCTGGGTTTGTATGTTTACCTCGTGTTTGCGTGGGTTGCTCTCGTTTTCCCTTAATAATAATAATAATAATAATTAATAATAATAATAATAATTCGTTACATTTATATAGCGCTTTTCTGGGCACTCAAAGCGCTTTACACAATGGGGGGGGAATCTCCTCATCCACCACCAGTGTGCAGCATCCACCTGGATGACGCGACGGCAGCCATTTTGCGCCAGACCGCACACCACACACCAGCTGATTGGTGGAGAGGAGACAGAGTGATGATATGCCAATCATGATATGGGGAGGGTTAGGAGGCCATGATGGACCGAGGCCAGTGGGCAGATTTGGCCAGGATGCCGGGGTTAAACCCCTACTCTTTTTCGAAGGACATCCTGGAATTTTTAACGATCACAGAGAGTCGGGACCTCGGTTTAACGTCTCATCCGAAAGACGGCGCTCACTGAGCAGTATAGAGTCCCCGTCACTATACTGGGGCATTAGGACCCACACAGACCGCAGGTTGGGCGCCCCCTGCTGGCCTCACTAACACCACTTCCGGCAGCAACCTAGCTTTCCCAAGTGGTCTCCTATCCAGGTACTGACCGAGCGCAGCCCTGCTTAGCTTCAGTGGGCGACCATGTGAGAGTTGCAGAGAGGTAGCTGCCTTACTGTCCAAAGACATGTGATATAGGTGAATTGGTTTCCCAATACTGGGTTGCAGCTGGAAGGGCATCCGCTGTATAAAACAGATGCTGGATAAGTTGGCAGTTCATTCCGCTGTGGTGACCCCAGATTAATAAAGGGACTAAGCCGAAAAGAAAATGAATGAATGTTCCTAACCAAATTCACTGTATCCCACCCAAATTAAAAGGTTTGCAAAACAGCTTGAATACAGTTTAGCATGTTATTACCTAAAATTGTACGTACATAGCAATTAAAGTCTTCTAATAATGTGAAGCTTGTTTTTATTTTTTATTATTACTAATAATTGTAATATTATTGCTGTTATTAATATAAAATATACTTTTCAATAGTTATTATATGTTTTATTATTACCCTGTTAAAAAAAAAAAACTTGTTTGTTAACAGTTTCTCATATTTTATTTCATTGTCCGCCCGCCTCCCTATTTTCACTTTTGAATTGCATTAGGGGAGCTTAATCTCTAAAGCTCTAACACCCTTTGACGTTGAAACGTTTAACAAAGTTAGCTTTATTGACATTTTTTGTAGTTTGAAGTTATACAGTACATTGTCTGTGTTGATCATACAAATTATAATTTATATGGGACAAAACTGCTAATGAGCTGAAAGTGCCTTTTGTGTTTTTAATTTCTATACATATTAGTTCTTATGTTATAGATTATTTAAATTATCAAATAATTTCAATATGAGTCACTGTTAAACTTACAAATTTTAAGCATATAAAGTTAATGAAGAAAAAAATCAAGTTCAACTAGTGAGTGTAAATAAAAAGAAAGCACCTGTATATGAAAAACATTTTTACACTGTTTGTGTGTGTATATAATATTACAAATTTATTATTATTGTCATATGATATAACCAGTTTCAAATAAATTAGGTGATTAATCAACAATAAGTGCTTTAAAATTGTCATTTTCCTAAGGTTTACCACTCACCAACCCAAACTTGATGAAACTATTAATAACTGTAGAGCTTTTTAGCTGTCTGAAAGACAAAGTGAAGTCTATGAGAACTATTGTCCCGCCTAACTCTTTGTGTCCTTGAGTGATTTGAACAGGTTTAAAGTTTAAGTGATGTGTATTTATAACAGTGACATGTTGATTGCATTAACTCAGATGGCTGGCACTTGCTTTTCAAGTCTTTCTGTCATCTGTAAAAGCCATTTGGAAAAGATACAAAGTAATGTATTTTGTATCAGTATGTCTCAAGTACTTTGTTTTATTTGGATTAGCTTTTGGTTGAGAGTTAAAGTTTGTGTGTCTTCACAGGGGAGCCTGGTCGCATTACGCAGCCATCAGGATTCAGGTGTCAGAGCCACCCGTTTATTGACAGCCGATATGGTATGATGAACCTTCTGGTGGCTGTGTATGGGAGGGGGTTGAAAAGCAAATCAGAGAGACTGATGTGGGAGATGACAAATCCAGACGGTGGAGAAGTACTACATGAGAAAGTGGAAGTACTCAGAGTGAAGAATAACAGGCCAAACCGTGAGTGAGACTGTAAGTGATTATGCGCATGAATGCACTTGTATGCGGGGGGAGCTGCATGTCTAATTAAGGGTCTTGGAAAAGAGGAAAAGCCCATGTGTTAATGTGAGAGCGAGAGACACAGGAAGACAGCATTGAGGGGGACAGGTGGCCATGAGAGAGGAGCTGTACTCAGCTGATTCCTACCACCTTTAAGGGTCAAACTGAGGGCATGGCCAAGAAAACAGTGGAAAAAAGGTTGAAGAAAAAGACATGTTTCAGAAGAAAGTAGAAAAAGACAACTTCTTCCTTTATTGGTGTCTGTGGTTTAATGAAGAATTGCTAAATTCTTTGGAACTATTTTATTGCACAAAACAATCTTTTTGGTTTAAAAAAGGCTTCTTAAATGCGCTACAGAAAAAAAAGACCAAACTTATTATTAAAATGCTTTATTAAAAACACATTATTTTGACAGCCCCATTAGATATGCGGTTATCTTTGCATCTGCTTAATATCTGCTATGAACTGTTGTTGGTTTGTTTGCAAACAACCTATTTTAAGGAGTAAATTTCATGACACTGTTTTCAACCTGACACTTTTTATGCATGTTGCCATTCATTTACACATTCACAGTTTTTTGGGGATGTTTCAAATTCATGTTTGGTAAACAATGCCATTATAACCTCTCTAAAACAACCCGAGATGTGATTTTGTAAATGCGGGAATGTTTTGTGCATAACATGTTTCTTTTAGTCTTTTTTATGGATCTATGATATTGACAGTTTTGATAGTGTTACCATCTGTCCTAAAAACTTTTTAGTATAGCAAAAGAAATACATTTTTGTATATATTTAGTTTTTAGTATACCATTGTAAATGGCACCTGCACTGTGCACACCTACCATAAGAGGGCGCGAATTAATGCCACTTTTTAAATTTTTTTTACATAATTCAATTTGACTATCAAACAGTACACAATACTATATATTGATAAAGCTAGACAGAATGAGAATAAGTAAATGTGTGCGTTTATGTGTTTTCAAGTGTGTATGTACTCGCATGGTGGGAGATGGGTAAAGAAATCTATTGGCTTTATTATAGCTGGCAGTTTTTCAGCACACTAAAAATTACAATTCAGATAGCTAATGTTTAAAACAAGGTTTAAAATGAGTAAACCTGCTCTAAAACAGCTATACTTAATTGAGACATTTGCCAAAAGGCCTTAGACTAATGAAACAAATATTGCTCATGAGACCTCTTATCAGCACCTGAGCCAGGGAAACTCAATACCCAGCCCGTGACTGCACAGCCTCCCTACATGG